GTGTATGTGAACAGTGAGATGTTTGGGCGCTGAAGTCGCCATAGCCAAATGAGAGTGAACTCGTATCTGAAAGCCATATCTTTGAGTTTTGAGTGGGCGCATGTCGCCAGTATGCTGCGTAACTGTTTACATGTGTGAAAAGTGTGTTTGAAAACGAGTCTGATTGCACCAGTACATCAAGGGCGAGTATAACAAGGTTGCTGATGCGCTGTCGCGTAGACCAGATTTCTCCGGTGCGCTGGTCACTGAGTTTGGGCTTGCGGACGATGTTCCTCACTCTATGGTGGAAGCTTACCGTGAGGATCAGTTTATGTCCGAGATCATTTGCAGACTCGAGGTCAGCTGTTCCTTGAGAAGGCCGGGAATAAACGTTTGTGTGTTCCCAATAGGGAGTCTTTGCGTAGTTTATTCTTAGGAGAGTGTCATGACGCCACCGGTCATTTTAGTTTCAAGAAGACCGCAGCCAATTTGTTGCAGCGGTTTTGGTGGCTCACGATGATGAGAGACGCAAAGCTGTACGTGGAGACTTGTAAGGTCTGTCACAGGGACAAGCCACGTACACAGGCTCCTGTTGGGCTTCTAAAGACCCTTCCGATTCCGGAAAGGACTGGAGAGAGCCTATCCATGGACTTCATGGATACGCTGGTCACCAGCAAGAGTGGTATGCGCTACGTCTATGTCATCGTGGATAGATTTAGTAAGTATGCTAGGTTAGTCGCAATGCCTACAACAGCTAAAATTGAGTGTGTGATCAAGCTGTTCAAAGAGAATTGGGTCAGAGATTTCGGACTGCCCAAGTCTATAGTTAGTGACCGGGATGTGTGATTCACTGGTGAACTGTGGAAAGCCGTAGCTGCAGAACAGGGCACGCAGTTGCAAATGGCACCGGGCAATCACCAAGAGGCGAATGGGCAGGCAGAGCAGTTGAACCGCGTTCTACAACACATGTTGAGGCATTACATCAAGCCAAATCAAGTAAACTGGGATGAGAAACTTGCTCTCATCGCCAGCCTGTACAACAACGTCGTGCACAGCGCTACGGGAGTAAGCCTAAACAGCTTGCTCCTGACTTTCAAGCCCAGACTGCCTTTGGATTTCTTACTACCTGAGAACCAGCCCTCTGCTGCATCAGGGACCTTAGAGTTTGCTTATCGATATGAGCAGCTGATGCAGCATGCTGTCGAACAGATGCATAAGGCACAGGCGACGATGATAGAGTCTGAGAACGAACACCGCCGCCCATCCACATTTCAGGTAGGAGAGAGAGTCTAGGTTAAGTCCTCAGAATTGGGACAGGAGCAAGGGAGCTCCCGCAAGCTCATGCCGCAGTACTTTGGACCATGGGAGATTCTAGATGTTGTTGGGGATGATCCGGATGGGCCATCTTATGTTATTCGCATCCCTGGTCACTTACGCACTTACCCTGTTTTCCACGCTTCCAGGCTTGCACCTTTCAAAGAAACAGATCAATTTCCCTCTCGTCGCTCAATGCTGCCCCCAACCATGGATGGAGAGGTCCACATTGACGACATTGTTAACCACAGGGAAATGCCAATTCCAAGACCTGCAGGCAGGGGACGTCCTCCAAAACCGAAGCTGCAATACAGAGTTCGGTCCAAACATCACACTGATCCAAAGGAGGATCGATGGTTCACCAGGGAGAATTGATGCAGACCGCTCCTCGGGTTGTCACCCAATATGAAAAGTCTTTGCAAAAGGGAAAGCGCCAGACCATTGACGACTGAACTTCTCAGAGGACTATGTCGGGGATCTCGGCTGCCTATCGGGGTCCTTAGTGAACGAACCCAGGTTAAGTGCAGGCTGATGATCCAGGCAAAACGACAAAACCCATATGTTTTGGATTGTCTTATATAAGAGAGGCGTATATGGTATGAAAGTTATGAGACTGGCGATAATATATGCAGTAAGAGTACGTGATTATGAATATGGCCAAGATTGTATCTATGACTTCAAATAATTAGTGGGGATTAATAGAAGAGCGGTTAAATGTACTTTAGAGGAGAGATGTCTAGAAATGGCTTAGGAAAGGCCCTTTGGTATTTGACAAGCTTTTTGATGGAATATTTGTCTTATTCCCAACAGGTTGGTTAACAAAGGGATATAGAGATGTCGGACACGGATGGAATCAAGCGGGGCCCGGCTGCTACGCCGGAAGACTTTGTCAAAGCGTTGGAGAAAAGAGAACTGGCACGACTACAGGTGCCGAAAGTTGACATCTTCCTGTTCGATGGGGATGGGGTGTCAGAATGGTTGGAGTTATTGGAACAGGTTACGAGTGAGGCATCAAAACTTGACAAGTTCAAATTGATGCCAAGGTATGTCTGGTGGGAGCTCAGGCCAGAGGTCAGGAAAGTAGCGACCAGTGCGAATGGAGACTGGTCAAAATTCAAAGAGGAGATGCAGAGGCGCTTCAAGTTGGGAGATGGCGTGCTGACAAAGGCGGACCAAGAGATGTTGAGCCGGAACGAGTTCACTACGGTGGGTGCGTTGGCTACGGCTTTTAAGAAAATGGCAAGAAAAGTCCCGGGGATGGCAGAGGAAGAGTAATGTGCCACATTTTTGGGGCACTTCGCCAACTTTGAAGCCTCAGCACTGACAAGAAAAGGCGCGCCAGGGAAGAAGCTGACTTGGGCCACCATAAAGGAGGGCGTAATGGACGGGGAACTGGACCAAGTTGACCTCTTCCAAATGAGACAGGCGAGGAGAAAAAGGAAAGCAATAGACGGCGCAGCTGGTGGTGGCCAGGATTTGAGAAAGGTAGTAGAGGAGGTGGTGGCCCAGCTAGAGGCCTCGAGAGAAGCAAGTGCCCCGAAGAAGGTATTGACAGTAACCCACGTCCAGGGGAAAGGAAAGAAGGCGGCTACGAGAGAAGAGTTAGAAGAGGAAGAGGAAGAGGAAGAAGAAGAGCCTGAGCCTCAGAAGTTGACAAAGGCTCAGAGTAAGGCCAGGAACCAGCCCCAGGGAGGGCAAGGTTCAGGAAAGGGCTAAAGCTCCCAAATAGCTGTGATGCCTCCGCCTGAGTCGCACAGACAAACAGGTGCGATGGTATGGACAATGGGTGAGCTTCGGACCTCCGGGCCCTTGGCCAGGTTTTAACCCCTATACACCATGGCCTGTTAGCGGGCAATTCGGTTCCTATGGTGGGCCACAAATGAGCATGGCCTCGTGTGGGTACTCAAGGCCCCAAGCCCAGCAGGCGAGCCAGTCCCGAGTCAATCGCAACAGTCTGCTCCGCAAGGGTCGCAGGGCAATCAGGGCGGTGGTCGAGGCCAAGGCCAAGGATGGGGACGAGGCAGAGGGAATGGTGGCCGTGGTGGAAATGGAAGAGGAAATGCGGGCCGTAACTCCAATGAAGGAGGAAATGAGGGTTGGAATGACGGAGGGAATCAAGGCGGCCAACAGGGTGGCCGAGGATATGGCAGAGGTAGAATTAGATTGGAGGAATGCCATCTGTTGGCATTGTGGCCAGAAGGGCCACACGATTAAGTTTTGTCGGGTCTGGAGGAGCGACGAAAATGATGGGTTGATGAGTACTAATTACGATGGGGATATCTACGATATGTATGGGAAATACATCGACCCAAGGACCCCAGGAGGGACGAGAGAAGAGGCTTTGCGGAGAGCAAATGCCCCGCCTCCAGCAGCTCCTCCGGCCGCGTTCCGCATGTGGCAGGAGAAAGAAGTCTACCAAGATGTAAGGGTGGAAGAGGTAGGGGAGAGTGAAGAAGTTGAGCAGGGAATGAAAACCGACATTGTAAAGGAGGAACCTATAGTGGTTGAACCTGACGACGAAGAAGAAGGAGGCCAGATAGAGTCAAGAGACACAATGGAAAGGATGGAGGACCGGTTGGCAAAGATTGGGAGATATCAGACCAAGTTGACCACCCTGTGCGAGGAGGTCAACAAATGGAGGGGAGAATTACCGTCAGTTTACCTTTTTGATTCAGGCCCCGGAACACAAAGTGGGACTGGAAACCTGCCTGGAGTAACGGTTACAACCTCCACGCCCAGATCTGGGATGGCCTCTAGGCCACCATCTAGGGCCGGAAGGGCAGCTTTGGTTGCGCGCACGAGGTCGGAAGGGCCGCCCAGTTCTAGCCAACCTCCTCAGAATAACCCGGAGCCTAGTGCGAGAAGGAGGCGGTGGAAGTTCCGGAAGACAAGGAGGACGAGGACGAGAAGTTGAGACAAGAGGAAGATAAGAAAGTCGATGAAAGGGCAAAGACGAGGCGCAAGGACCAACGCCGACAAGGACCAGAAAGGAAAGAAGAAGAAATATACGGTCCGGTTGGAGGAAGGATTTGACGTGGAAGGCACGGTCGATAGGCTCCTCGAGGGCCACAACGACCTTCTGAACCTGAAGGACATCCTTGCCTTTGCTCCAAAATTGCGGGACGAGCTAAAGGCTCGTTTGTCGAGAAGGTTGGTGGCAAGCGTGCGCCTGGGGACCATAATCCCCAAAGAAGGTGAATGGGCGGAAATAGGCACCAAATGGACTGGAAGTCCGTAGCGTGCGGGTGTGTGGAGGTAATAGTGAAAGGAAAACCGTGCACCGCAATGATAGATACAGGGGCAGAAATGAACCTCGTAAAGAAGGAGCACACCATTCGCCTGGGGATGGAAATTGATTGCTCCGACAATGGAGTCCTTATGGGGGCGAACAACAGGTCTGTGTTTATAGGGACCGCGTCAAACGTGGTCATTGACATCGGCAAGGTAAAAGTGAGGACTTGCTTTTTTATAATGCCGGATCTCGACCATCCTATCCTACTGGGCCGGTCTTTTTTAAGTAGGACAGAAACCCTCATTCTCAACAAGCATGATGGGACGATGTTCCGGATGTTATGCGACCCTGTGTGTGGTTACTATGAAGTAATCACGTGCCAGAATACAGGGCCACACAATGTAAGGAATCGGCCCAATCCTTGCTCTTTCACTATTGAAGAGTCAGAAGAGGCGAGAATGAGATTGGAAGGCGAGGAGTCTGACGAAGGGGAACCTTCAAAGGCATTGTCCCTCAGCTTGACGAACATAGGGGACGCTATGGATATAGTGTCTACCTATGAGATGGCGGATCCTGAGGCAGTTGAGGCCCTTAAAGAAAAGGTGATGGAAATGAGAGGCGAAGGTGAGATGGAACTGGTCTATCGAGTGCCAGGAAGGATAGGCGGAACAGTTGGACCCCAACCCCAAAGTGCAACTCGGCCTTTTTTAGGGGTGGGCTCAAGCAAGGGTCACAAAGGCGGTACAAAAGGGTAGACCAGAAGTAACGCCCAGTTCCCGTACTCATAGCCGAAGAACAGGAAGTTTGTTACGAGCGGGAGCGAGAACTGATACGACAAATGCGTGAGAAGGCAGATAGTGGGCCATGTCGTATCAACCAGGAAACAGAGGAGGCGCTGATAATTGGAGAGTCAGATTTCCTTACAGTGCAGGAAAGGCAGTTGGTAGTGGAAACTATAAGAGGAAGGCATACTGCATATGCCTTCAATGATGATGAGCGGGGTCGCCTGGACGTAGACAGAATCCCAATGATTAGGATACACACCGTACCTCACAAACCATGGAACTTGCGAGGTGCGCGATATCCCAATCCAGTTGATGAAGAGAAGGTAGTTAAATACCTCGATGGAAAGATCCGCACACATGTCTCAGATTACTCAAGTGGGCCATATGCATCCCCTTGGTTTTGCTTGTCAAACCCAATGGGACGTTGCGATGGGTACAGGATTTGCAACGCTTGAATGTTGTAACGGTGAGGGACGCAGGGGGTCTCCCTAAGGCTGATGCGCTTTCAGAGGCCTGCGCTGGGAGAGTCATAATATCTCTCATAGATCTATATTCAAGCTACGACCAATTTCCTGTGTACCCATCTAACAGGCCAATGACGACTATGCATACCCCTCGAGGGTTGATCCACATGAATGTCGCACCGCAAGGGTGGACGAACGCAGTCGCCATGGTCCAGAGACATATGGTGCAGGCAATGCAACCAGTAAGCCCTCACATCACGCAACCTTATATTGATGATCTGGTCGTGAAAGGACCTAAGGAGAAGGATGAGCAGGAGGTGATGCCGGGAATTAGGCGTTTTGTCTGGAGCCACGTACAAGACTTATGTAGGGTCTTAGACTTGCTGAAAGAGCATAACCTTACTGCTAGTGGATCGAAGTCAAGGCATTGCATGCGCGGGGCCACTATCTTAGGGTTTGTGTGCGACGAGAGGGATCGTCGGCCGGAGACTAAGAAGACTAATAAGATTCTCGAGTGACCAACATCATTCGAGACTATCACGGAGGTAAGAAGTTTCCTCGGAACGTGTGGCTTTTGGAGGATTTTCATAAAGGGGTTTGCGGCAAAGACTGAGCAGTTGCGAAAGCTTGTGCGTCAAGGCCAAGATTGGGAGTGGGGAAATAAGCAGGAGTTGGTAATAGAAGGTCTGAAGAAAGAGTTTGAGGAAGGGGGTCTAGTACTGGGGGTACCAAACCGTACAGCGGTGATGACCATACCATTTATCGTAGAGACGGACGCAAGGCTGACTGCCCTGGGAGGTGTATTGATCCAACGAGACCTCAACGGAGAAGAAAGGCTGCTAAGGTTTGAGAGTCGAACGCTTAACACAACTGAGAGAAACTACTCTCAGTTTAAGCGCGAAACCTTGGTAGTTCTTCACTGCTTAAGGATCTTCAGAAACTATCTCTTTGGCAGCAGGTTTGTGTTGAGGGTGGACCCAACTGCTCTAGTTGGTTCCCTTAAGAACTTCGCTCCTTCAGATCCAACTATCGCCAGGTGGCTAACGTACATCTGGATGTTCGACTTCGAGTTGGAACGAATTCGTGAAAACAAGAATAGAGCAGACGGGTTGAGTCGAGTCGACTGGGACAAGAGTAACCGAGGAGTGATCGAGGATACTCCACCAGTCGACGGGTTTCTGGATAGTGCGGAGGATGTGAGACTTCACATCAACTCCTGGTCAGTGGTCGTAGGTAACTATGTTACTCTTGGGCGACGTGTGTGGCTCGCGCCTCCAGGGCATGTACGACGACCAGACCTAGTCCTCAAGCCCTATATCGAAGAAGACTCGTGGGGAATGCCATGTGTAGAGTGGATGATGGATTTGGCCCTAGCAAACAAGTACCAACTACATGAGGACCTGCTCACAATTGAGAATGGGGCACAGCAGGTGGAAAAACATGAGAAATCGGTAGGCGGAATATATCTTCTGGCCAATGCACTTCTTCAGGACGAGGTGGTTAGGAATGCGGGACAGAGTCAGGAAGAAGGTGATAATGTGATCCACGAAGGGGAAGATGATGATTTTGAGGAAGGAGAGATTAAGGAAGCTTTTCGGGCAGAAGAGTATGATGGAGTTTATCTCGAGCTCGGGATGCTTCTTTCGTGCGAGATGAGGGAAAGGGATGCGAGCGAGAAGTTTCTGAAAATGAGGCCAAACTTTCTAGTAAGGGATGGTCATTTATTCATGAGAAGCAAAGGAAGAAGTCCCAGAAGGGTAGTCTGTGGTGTCACTCATCAGATTGACATCATAGCTGCCCTACATGATGGTACGACCGGGGGTCATAGGGGCACGGATACGACATACCTCAAAATACACGAACTATACTATTGGGATGGCATGAGACAGATGATCAATGACTATTGTAAATCTTGTGTACCATGCCAAGAGTGATCCTCTCTTAGACCTAGGGAGCCGCTCCGCCCAAGGTATGTTCGTGAAATTGGAGCAGTCGTGCACCTGGATCTTTTGGCAATGCCGCTGGGAATAGGAAGTTATGATTTTATCTTCGATGCGCGGGACAATCTCTCTGGTTTTGTAGATGGCAGGGCCATTCGCACAAAGACCGGTGAGACAGTGGCTCGATGCATCGAAGAGTACTACCTCCGTTACCCCTTTGTCTTTAGATTCGTGATGGATAGAGGGTCCGAATTCACCTGTGCAGAAGTGAAGGCACTTTTAAAGAGGTATGGGATAATCGCCGAGTATACTACTGCAGCGCACCCTCAGCTAATGCGCTTGTGGAGAGAGGACATAGTACCATCACGAATCTCCTCGCCAAGTGGACTAGTGGCAGGCCCAATCAATGGCCAAACTTCCTAAGGGTCGCTTTCTTCGTGGATAATATCACTGTTAGAAGAAGCACCGGCTACGCTATGGTATGGCAGGCATGTGACGTTCCCTATCGAAAGCTTCCTAAAGACTTGGAGGCGGCAGGACCTCGAGACAAATCTGACATTTGAGGAACTGCTTGACTTAAGGGCATGTCAGATTGGCGCCATAGAGGACAAAATTGAAGAGGCGGCGAGTAGGGTGGCTGACAGTTGTACCAAGGACAAGTTCAGGTGGGATAAGATGGCAAGAGTAAAGAAAGAGCCTCTTAAGGTGGGAGACATTGTACTGCTATATGACTCATCCTTAGAAAAGCAGTGGTCAAGGAAGTTGCACAAGAGGTGGTTGGGACCATACAAAGTCACAAGGAGTGGTGAGCATGGAGCCTATCAGATTGAGGAGCTGAATGGGACGGCTTGGAAGGATTGGGTGTCTGGCTCAATGTTAAAGAAGTTTGTTGCTCGAGACGAGGTGAGCATGAATCTCACCAGTTAGAGTCACCCTTTTGAGTACTTTAGATAGGAATATTAGCATAAGTAAGTTGTATAGATTTTATCCTAAGTAGAATGATATGATAGGTTATGGCTTTGGGATAGACTCGTATATATATGTATGTATATATATATATATATACATATATGTAGATAGTTGGGGGAGGGCTATGTCTATCTCCTGTTGTATTTTGTCTAGACCTGCTTACCCTCTGTGTGCTCTTGTTTGTCTCTTCTTTGTTGTGCAGGCTTGACACCATTTGGGGCAGCCATGCCAAGAAGGAGGGGAAGGGCAGGGTCAGTGGAAACCCCTTTGGGGGTGACCAGACAGAGGACGCAGATAAGGACCAGGAGAGAGGACATGCCTCCACTTTTCCGGGGAGGGAATATTGAGCTGTTCTTGTTTGAGTTCGAGAGGCATGCGCAGGAGTTTGGATGGGATGGGACCAGGATGTTAAGGGAGGTGCGAGGCGCAGGCGAGTGGGTAGACCCGATTGCCCTCCTTGTCCGAGAGTCACTAACGTGGCAGGCTTTTGAGAGGAAGATGGAGGGCTTGCACCCATCTTCAGTGGGAAGAGATGGACGGCCCATTCGATTTGACTCAGTGGGAAGAGATGGACGGCCCATTCGATTTGACTCTACTAATCTGGGGGAATTCATATGGGCTTATGATCGATATGCAGATGGCCTCAATGTCACAGGGGAGCAGAGGATGGGGAGCTTCCTTCTGTATGTAAGGCGGCACATCAGATCCTTTGTCAGATCTATTGTGGCACCTGCTACGAACTGGGGCCACTGCAAGAAGTTGCTATGGAACTACTATACTCCAGCGCGTCAGGCAGATGAAAGGAGTATGGAAAAGAAAAGGAAGGAGCCAGAGGCAGCTGAGAAGAAGACCTTTGAACATGGTATGACATCTGGTGCTCAGAAGGAGGATGAGAGGAAGGAGCATAGGCCTCATAGATATGAGAGGAGGGAGGAGCAGCCTGATGAGAGGACTCAGAGGGGAGGAGCATCAGGTGGTTCAAGTGCACCTCCTCAACCTGCTCAGATGGATGAAGACCATTCTGTGCCAGAGATTGAGCCTATGCACCATGAGCCATAGATGCAGGAGCGCGAGGAGGAACAGTCTGCCAAGGAGAAGGAGGTGGACAGGAGTGAGAGAGCAGCAAGGGAGAAAGAGATCAGAGTCTAGCTCAGGTTGAAGAACTTGGCAGAGCTGAATGAAAAGAGGCAACAGGGAGAGCAGCCTGTGGAGTTGAAGAACAGGAAAGGAGAGGGCGTTTGCACTCAGAAGGAGGATCTTCCCCTACTTACAGAGGTTTGGGCCAGCTTTGACAAACTGATGGAGGCTGCAAGAAGGCCTAGAGAGCATCATCAGGAGATGGGGGTTCAGTTAGTCTCTACAAACTTGCTTAGCCTGAGGGGCCTTATGAAGGAGGGTCTTGCAGCAGCCAAGGCCTCAGATCAGAAGGTTGGGGAAAGATTGACGAAGGTGGCACAGAAAGCCTATGGCCAGAGGGTGGACTGGGAGAGAGAGATTGACACCCTCAAGAAGGAGCTGGAAAGGCAAAGCAAGGAGGTGGAGGCAGTGAAGGCAGAGATGGTGGAGGTCTGGGCTAAGAACGAGGCCATCAGGCAAGTCAACCAGACCTTTAACAAGGTCAATGACGTTTTGAGGGCCTATCTACAGGCACAACAAGTCTCCTTCCAGGCAAAGGAAGCTGAGTGGGAAAAGAGGATAAAGGACCTGGAGGCCAGGTATGCATAACAGGCTCCTACTGCAGTGGTGGATTGGACAGAGGTCCAGGGGTTTGAGATCAGGAGACAGCCTGCAAAAGAAGCCTTCAAATGCCAGTAGGAAAAAGAGAAGGCGGACCAGCAGAAAGATGAGGAGATCCCCCTGATAGATAAAGAGATGTTGGAACCACGAAAGGCACTAGCGGGGAAGGATTCAGAGGATGAAGAGTTTGAATGGAGGATGCCGACTAGCCTGACACTTGGGCCGGAGCCAGCGAAACCAGAGGAGAGGCCACCAGCTGAGGCCATGAGGATTGAAGCAGTTCCACCTATGACTCAGGGAGAGACTGTGGGACAGCAGGGGATTCAGGAGAGTCTGGGTCAGGCCATAGTTGAGGCTGAGTTGAGAGGGGATCTGAAGGTTTGTCAGGAGTCCACCACACCTCAGGATATGCCTCTTGTTGCAGGTCTGGAGGATGCATCGGGGTCTTGGGCCACTGGTTCTGGGCCAGAAGGGCGAGTCGGTGAGCAGGTGGCGCAGACACATGACAGAGCAGCATATCCCACTCCCCCAGAGGTTCCACAACAGGAGGTCACAAGTAAGGTTATGACAACCCCCTCATCTGTGCCCTCACAAGGAGGAGACAAGATGGAGCAGAAGAAGGTTGGAAGGTGCTTCTACTGCAAGAGAGGCAAGCACCTAGTGCCCCAAGAGCCTCAAGGATGAGGCGCATGGCTTGTTTGCTTGGGATTCATCTGGGGTACGAAGGGACAGGAATGGAAACTTGATCCTGAAGACTCGTGATGGGATTCGGGCGCAGTTGTATAGGCAGCTGCAAGAGGCCATGAGTGATCAGGAGTAGGGTTCACTTATAAGGTCCGGAAAAGTCTAGGTCTAGTACGGGCAGAACATGTCTGACACTCTGGCTGATGGTTGCTTATATATAGGAGGACACATGGAGGATTAGATCGGACCCATGTACATTAGTGAGTTGAGCCAGTAATGAGATGTTTACTTTCGCATTATAGACTTTTTAAGTTTAGTTGTACATAGGATAACACTGAGTGTGATTCTGACTATTTTTCTTTTTCTTTTCCTTTTCTTTAGTATGGTGTGGAGTGTTTTTTATAGTGTTTTTGGGCGAGTTGCGATTCCCTTTTCATCCAGAGTGGAGTGACATTCATGTGTGAGTGATATGAGGTGTGGAGTGACGGTCGATTTTCGGATACTTTGACTCTTGGTTGGATACCTTGATTCTTTGTTGGATGTTGTGATTCATGGTTGGATACTTGAACTCATTGTACGATACTTTGGCTCTTCGATAAGGACAGGAGCCTTTGCTTATTGCAAAGCCCCACATCCTGTGTACATATGCGAGTCTCAAACCTTGTTCCTTTTTTTGTGTGGTGTGTCACACTCACTCTCAGTTTTGTGGACTTGCCCATATGAATGATGGTATGATAAAATGAATATTGTGAAATGAACCGATCTGCACAGTCTTTCATTGTACTTGCGCATCCCTGTCTCAATGACAAGTGAAAACCAATAGACAGTGAAAGAGAGTGCTCCTTAGGTTTTCGAGGAAGAGATGACATGATGTATTTTGTAAAGATGGAGTGATGATGAATGGAAAGGTCGCAATTAAAAGTTATGTCTTCTGTAAGACTTAGAAAAGAAAGAAGAAAGCCAATGGCCGATTGGACTTTCTTAAAAAGATGAAATTTGTGAGAGCACTCAAATGAGATGTTATAACGATAAGAATTTTTTGTGTGTATGCAAGTCCGACGAGGAAAGGCCAAAAATTATGTGAGAATTATGGATGGAAACTTCTAGCAATTATGATGGAATTCTGGAAGATATTTTGAGAGATGTCTCTAAAGACGTGTGACCTTACCTACTCTGATCAAAGTAAGGGAGGCACGACCTTGTGGATTTACTGAGGAAATTGGTGGAATGTTGAAGAAGGCACTATCCCTTCATGTAGTCCCGTGAGCAGTTGGTATGTGATCCTTTGATTGTTCTAAAGGCTTTTTGGAAGAAAGTGCCAGACCACAATGAAGTCAGTCTAAGGGACATATTTTGTGAGGTCGGGCTAAGGGGCTATACTTAGCATCGCTGGAACTGTAGAACCTAACTCCCAGCGAGGGCCGCTGACCGGCACAACCTCGCTGCGGGACCATGGCTCACCAAAGGTTAAGTCTGGAAGGGTCGGCGGCCCGGAGAGGCTTAGCTAGAGGGAAAGTCATTGGGGTCGATTAAGTCAAGAGTCGGGACCCTTCGGGGTACCAAGATAGGAAGAACTGCTTATCGTTGCGCAACCAACAAGGGCACCATCGCTACATAACAACGCGATGGGCCGTGGATTCGCCGTGATCGACCGTTCTGCGGTGGGCCAAGATGGAGACCTAAAACCACATGTGTTAGACTCCAGGATGGGAGTTCATTATGATTGGATATTTCAAATGGTAAACATTACCATTTCGGGACTAAAGGTGCCCCGTATTTGAAAGAGGTCTCGGTTGGGGCCCGTGTCCTAAGTTATTACCCTGTACGCAGGACGATGACTAAGCAGGACACCCAACGATGAATCGGCAGATGTCTACGACAAAGGGAGAGGACTATCAACCTACTACCTGGGAACGGGTATTACGCTGTAGTACGGAACAAAGTATCCCTTAACTCCGAGGCCAGGACATGGGAGACCCAGGTTGGAACCCTGGCAGTGGAACGCCGTGACGGGAGCAGATTGATTAGAATACCTCACACGGAGTCGAGCCGGTTAGTCGGATTGGTTAATTCCTCGTCAGCAGCTGGGATTTTTTATTGCTTCTAGCTCTTGATTGCGCGACGTGACGGGGACGTCGCTTAATAAGGTCCGAAAAATTGTCGGCCCGAATACAATTACAAGGGTATTTGGGCACATTTTTGCAACTTATAGGAAATACGCTCCTTGACGATATCTAAGGGCGTGTCCCATTTCTGTGCGACCACAACCAATTCTCGGGGATTGGGAGTGACACGCACTTTGAGTTGATTAGAGAGTGTGTGAGCGTGCACTTTGTGGGCACGCGTTAGCTTGACCAAATAATTGATCAATGTAAACTATGAAACGCCGGTAGAGCAAGTTAGTACTAAGTTAGAATCTTGGGTAAAGTCGCGCAAGCCCAACCTCGCGCGCACGGACGAAGTTACGGGCAGCGCAGAGTTGACCAGTTTAGACTGCGACTGGAGGAGGATTGTGTCTGATTTACTGGAGACTGACACTTTTGGGGCCGCATAGTGGAGTGCACGAGTACATGCCTGCCTGTGTGTTGTCGGCAGTAGAAGCCGTGACAAACCTCTAGCTAGGATGGCACGGGCCAAGTACGGTATGAGTAAGAGCCGGGGTCTTTCTGACCCTAAGGCGATAACCGGGCAACCCTTTGATGAGTATGGCAGGATAGGAGAGCCCGGGCCGTAACCAGAACATGGTGAGGCAGTACACGTGACAAGCCGAGAAAAGTCTTGCCCTCTAGAGCGGCAAACACGCGCGTGCGGGCCCATGGGACGCACACTGTAAGCCAAAAGATGGCCTTGGTGCACCATCTGCAGGCCCAGGCCGGCTGCAACTGCCGTTTATATACAGGTCGACGCACAGCCAGTTCAGGCTTGGGCTTAGCCCTCTAGGTTACGACTTTGGACTTTCACCATATGGATCCCGGGATCGAAGCCAGCAGCCAGCAGCGGAGGAGCGGAGGAGCGCACTTTGGAGGTGAACTGAGGGGTTGAGGGTCCCGCGGGACTATCTGCCTTAGTTTTGCGAGGGGTTTTCGATTGCGGGCCTGTTAGGAAGGACCGAGGACCAAGTACCAGCGGTCCTCCTCCCCTTCTCTCGTTTCTCCTATCTTTTCAAAAATTTTAATTATTCTTTTTTTTTTATTCTTATTTTTTTTCTTTTCTTTGCTTGTCCTTTTTTTTCTGGGACGCGGTCCGACACCGGTCTCTGGGACCGGCTGTGACCGAGAGCCTAGTTCAGTGGATACACCCACGAGCTGTTGAAATACAGACCTGAGTTCCAAGTTCACGGGGAGCGGATGAGAAAAGTGCTGCAGTTTTGAATGGCCTGGGACAGGCAAGCCCGATGCTGGTATCCCAGGGCCAGAGCTTGGGCGTAGTCCTTTGGGACATCTGTTAAAATTGGAACGATACAGAGAAGATTAACTTGGCCCCTGCACAAGGCTGACTCGCATAAGGTCGAACTCTCTCTTCGCTTGCTATGGTGAGTGTCATTCGAGAAGGTGAGGCAGCGCAGACTAGTGGGAGGGTGATAGTATAGGAGGAGAAAGAGGAAGGATTAGAGAAGAGAAAGATAGTGCAGGAGAGCGCAGCACCACGAGAAGGGACGCAGCAGAAACAACAAGAAAAAAGAGGAATGAACCTGGACGCGGTTTCGCACAAGGTACGTTCGAAGGAGAAGGGAGAAAATAACGTCGAGGCTAGAAATTATGGCAGAGAAAAAGACTACAACGTGCTTGTTTCTTAACGGAATTTGTCAGGGGAAGGTGATAATCAGGGGTTTTGAGGCAGGGCGAACCAGGTGGTGTTGTTAGATTGAGGAAAGAACTAGTGGAAGGGGAGGAAAACAAGAAAAATAGTGCGCGGAGGTGACGGGATGCTGGATATGGCCGTTTTGAAAAAGGCAGATCTCGCCCGTTTCTCAACGAAAACGGGCAAGTGAAGACTTGAAATGGAGGTTTCCGGGCGATGCGAGCAGCATGGCGGTACTAGTTTTGCCTATAAGTTGGTGGTTTGGCCAGGCTCGGTGCTGAAGGCTACGCCCAGGAGGAACGACAATGCATTCTTCCGCGTTCTAAAGGAAGATTCATTCTGATTTTGCACATCTGATCGATGGTAGCAGTGTAAGTCGTGAGGTTGGAGACTTACCTTCTGGGCGGTGCGTTGCTCGTACTATTGATGGAGGTAGCGTGAGGCAGCCACGGGGTTGGAGACTCACCTGTTGGCTGGTGCGTTGCTCATCCTAATCGAGGGAAGTGGAGTGAGGCCAGCGTTGGGTGTAGGCAAGGGCAAAGTGGGGACAAACGAGCGCCTCTCCTCGTGGTGGTAGTTCCAATCCCAACTTGATTGGTTGAGGTCGCCATCATAATCGACCATGATGCTCGTCGTCTCCTCAAGGTCGTTGGGGTTGTTGTGAAGATGCTGCTCACTGAGAGGTTGCTCGTCGTCTCGATCCAACATAGCTCATCGTGGTGGTCATCGTCAAAGTTGTCGTGATGCTCGCCTGCGTCATGGTGGTGTCGGAAGTTTTCGACAGTTGCCTACCTTGCACGAACGTTGTAGGTAGTGCATGAACCTGACCAGGGTGTTGGCCAGGTGCATACGTGTGTGAAGGAAGGGAGGCGCCACAGAGAGAGAGAGAGAGAGAACAGACGCTTACCTCGAAGAAATTGCGGTGTGGGATGCACTGAAGAGTAGAACTACAGTGTCAAAGTGCACGGTGAGGGAGGAAACTGTTTGAAGCTGGTCGGGATTCGGCCCAGATACATGAAGAGAAAAGAAGACCGACACAGTGGGAGAAAGAGGGAAGAGCGGGAAGATCGTTAGAGAGAGGCAGAGAAGAGGAGATATGGAGGAAGCGGAAGACGTAAAACTCACCTGATTCTTGATGAGATCGGGTAAGGGAAAATACGACTTAGAGATTTTGAGACCGGGCGAATCTGAATATTGGTTTAGATTTGGAAAATAATGGACGGTTTCGTTGATACAGGAGTGCAAAGTTGCGCTGAGTGTGGGTGAGGGGAGCA